GCATGCAGAGTCTTCTGAAGACTTCATTTTTTGCCACAAGTTTTTGGAAAATGCGAAAAGAAAATGAAAATGTATTTTTTTTCTACACAAAGTTGTCAATCTATGAGATATTTCTAATACACTGCATAGGCATACTTAAAATTACACCCAAAAACACATTCTCTAACTCTTCCTGAATATGGTGATACCAAATGTGTGAGACTTCTTCACAGTCTGGCCACATAGAGGGGTTCCACATCCAATAAGCACCTGTTAGCGTTCTAAGGGCAAAGATCGCACATCTAATTTCTTAACTACCTATTGCTGTTTTGGAGGTCCTGGAGCATCAGGACAATGGAATTATCCACAAAAAGACCCCATTTTGGAAAGCAAACACCCCAAGGTATGTTTTAAGCTCTCCGTCACTCTCATCTGTCATACTCAGAATTTGAAATGCCTCCTCGCTTGTATATGATCTTTTGGCCATATTTTTGACACTGATCAGGACCCACTGGTATGGCAGTGATCAGGATGGTGTTGCAGTGAGGGACAGATATCTGGCTGCAGTTGGGTCACACTAGTCACTGTTGGGGAAAAAATCAGAGATACAGTGAAGTGGCTGGCAAAGTTTTGTGAGTGTGTGTAAACTCTGTGCAAAGGCTGAAAATTACTCACAGTTAGCTGTACTGGATCTCTCTCCTCACAGACGATGGCAGTGAACAGGATCCACTGGTGTGGCAGAGATCAGGGACACTTTATGGACAGGCACACTGTAAGGTGATCAGGGACACTGATTGGGCCACTGTATGGTGATCAGGGACACTGCTGGGCCACTGCGGTGATCAGGGACACTGCTGGGCCACTTGTGTGGCGATCAGGGACACTGTGGCGATCAGGGACACTGCTGGACCACTTGTGCGGTGACCATGGACACTGCTGGGCCACTGCGATGATCAGGACACTGCTGGGCCACTTGTGTGGCGATCAGAAACACTGCTGGGCAACTGCGGTGATCAGGGACACTGCGGTGATCAGGGGCACTGCTGGACCACTTGTCCGGCGATCAGGGACACTGCTGGCCACTTGTGTGGTGATCAGGGACACTGCTGGGCCACTTGTGTGGTGATCTGGGCCACTGCGGCAATCAGGGACACTGCGGTGATCAGGGACACTGCTGGACCACTTGTGCAGCAATCGTGGACACTGCGGTGATCAGGGACACTGCTGGGACACTGCGGCGATCAGGGACACTGCTGGACCACTTCTGCGGCGATCAGGGACACTGCTGGGCCACTGCGATGATCAGGACACTGCTGGGCCACTTGTGTGGCAATCAGAAACACTGCTGGACTACTGCGGTGATCAGGGACACTTCGGTGATCAGGGGCACTGCTGGACCACTTATCCGGCGATCAGGGACACTGCTGGGCCACTTGTGTGGTGATTAGGAACACTGCTGGGCCAATGCGGTGATCAGGGACACTGCTGGGCCACTTGTGTGGGGATCAGGAACACTGCTGGGCCAATGCGGTGATCAGGGACACTGCTGGGCCACTTGTGTGGTGGTCAGGGACACTGCTGGGCCACTGCGGCAATCAGGGCCACTGCGGCGATCAGGGACACTGCTGGACCACTTGTGCGGCAATCAGGGACACTGCGGTGATCAGGGACAATGCTGGGCCACTGCGGTGATCAGGGACACTGCTGGACCACTTGTGCGGCAATCGGGGACAATGCTGGGTTACTTGTGTGGTGATCAGGGACACTGCTGGGCCACTTGTGTGGCGATCAGGGACACTGCTGGGCCACTGCGGCAATCAGGGACACTGCGGCAATCAGGGACACTGCTGGACCACTTGTGCGGCAATCAGGGACACTGTGGCGATCAGGAACACTGCTGGACCACTTGTGCGGCAATCAGGGACACTGCGGTGATCAGGGACACTGCTGGGCCACTGCGGTGATCAGGGACACTGACAATCAGGGACACTGCTGGGCCACTTGTTGGGCGATCAGGGCCACTTGTGGGCGATCAGGGCCACTTGTGGGCGATCAGGACCACTTGTGGGCGATCAGGGCCACTTGTGGGCGATCAGGGCCACTTGGGGCAATCAGGGCCACTTGGGGCAATCAGGGCCACTTGGGGGAATCAGGGCCACTTGTGGGCGATCAGGGCCACTTGTGGGGGCGATCAGGGCCACTTGTGGGGGCGATCAGGGCCACTTGTGGGTGGGGGCGATCAGGGCCACTTGTTGGGGCGATCAGGGACACGTGGGGCGATCAGGGCCACTTTAGGGGCGATCAGGGCCACTTTAGGGGCGATCAGGGACACTTTAGGGGGCGATCAGGTGTCACTGAGGTGGAGGGTAGTTAACTACTGCCTCTTCTTCGCTGTTTCTCCTCTCACAGACAACTCCGTGAGAGGAGAAGGAGGCGGAAGCCGCACCATGCGGCTTTTGTTTACACTTAAGCTGTGTCCTTATTGGACACAGCTGATCACATGGTATGGGACCGATTTCATTGGTCCCATACCATGTCACGTAATCCACCGTGTCCGTCGGACTCGGCGATCGTCGGGCTCGCGGGTGCGCGCTCTAGGAGCCGCGCACGAGCCTCAAATACAAGGTGCCGTTTAGAGACGGCAACCCGCTGCTGTAGGTGTCCCGTCCTGCCGTTTATAAACAGCGGCCGGACGGGAAGTGGTTAAGGACGCCACGGCTGGCTTCCTTAACCACTTTCCCGCGGCCCTATAGCAGATATACTGCTACAGGGAGGCAGGGGTGTGCAAATCACATATATTTACATGATTTTGCATTTTCGGATAGGGGCTGCACACACGGCCCCTGTGTCCTTGCCCAAACTCAAAAAAGCCTATGAAAAAGGTACCAGGGGCATCTCATGGGGCTCTCTACTGACTCTGGACCCTCGGGCAGTGCCCGAATTTTCAGATGGTCAGTCCGCGCAAAGCGTGCCCTACACGCGCTGCCATTCACGGCCGTGGCTGTCAATCACCAGGTCCCTGCCAGTGATTACCCGCCGACACCTGGTGATTACCGAGCATCTCCGACGGGAAGAAGAACTGTTTTTGTTTACTAACAGTTCTCCCTGTCAGCTCGGGCACACTGAGCAGTGTGCTTACAGTGAATAACACTGACACGGCCCCCTAGTAAAACACTCTCTGCACACAGTTAACCCTTTTATCGCCCCTCGTGTTAACCCCTTCCTGCCCAGTGCCATTAGTACAGTGTCAGTGCTTTTTTTTTAGCACTGATCACTGTATTGGTGTCACTGGGGATGTCAGTGACACCAAGTCAGTTCCCCCCAGTGTCAGAATGTCCACCGCAGTCCCACTGATCACTGCCATTACTGGTGAAAAAAAATGTCAGTATCCATATTGCCATTTGTAAACGCTATAACTTTCATGTAAATCATTTAATTTACACGTATTGGGATTTTTTTTTTTTTAGCAAAGACATATAGTGGAATACATTTTGGCCTAAATTTATGCCGAAATTTGATTTTTTAAATTTTTTTTAATAGCAAAAAGTCAAAAAATATAGTTTTTTTTCTCAAAATTGTTGGACTTTTTTTATAGTGCAAAAAAAATGCTCAGGTGATCAAATACTACCGAAAGAAAGCTCAATTTGTGGGAAAAAAAGGAATTACATTTCATTTGGGTGCAGCATTGCATGACTGCACAATCGTCAGTTAAAGTAACGCAGCTCCGTAACGCAAAAAATGGCCTGGTCAGGAAGGGGGGTAAATTCTCAGGAGGGCAAGTGGTTAACAACCAACTACCATGCCATAAATTACTGTATGAAAATATGCGGTAATTACCACAATATTGATATTTTATTGCATGAGTTATTTACCACAAAATTCTTAGTGAATTGCACATTTGCAAAAACTTTACCGCATTTTTTCAGTCATTATTTAACTCTTAGTGAATTGTCCCCTTTGTCTGTATATTTGGAGGCATTGCCCTGCTGGAGAATGAATTTTAGACTGAAGCCTTCCTGAAGATATTGCATGATTGCATGATCTGCCTGTACTTTTCAGCATTGAAGGGACCATTATTTCCGACCAGACCATCTGCAGAAATGCAGCCCCAAACATAAATGGAGCCTCCATCATGCTTAAAGTGGAACTTTACCCATAACAACTTGATAAAAAAAGAAAGTTATTTAGCAAGAAACATACATTCAACATTAATAATTATGCCCCTAAAATTAGTGTGTGCTGTAAATTGTCTCCAGCATTGTTCCTGTTTCTTCTTGCTGGCAGCTGCCATTTTGCTAAAGCCAAGAGCTCCTGTGCAGCAGTAAATGTTTAGGTTGTCAGTAAATTGGCCTCTACATTGTAGGCACGGTGCTGAAAAATAAAGAACAACTCAGCATGTGTAGAGGCAGAGTGAGACAGTGTATTAGTGGATTTTTAAACAGTATAGGCACTTATTTTTAATATTTTACAAAGCTATACCTGCAAAAGGGGCCAGCCTGTGTGATCTAACAGGACTTAATTTTCTTAATTTTTGTGTGCAGACAGTTGTCCTTGTTCACACCTACCAGGACTTCATAGAACAAACTGGGTATATTACATCCAAATATTTCTAATTTGGACTCAACAGTCTGGAACGCCTGCAGCCATTTTTATGCACACCAGTTTTTGTGTGTTTAAATACATAGGTGAGTCGCTTGGCCTTGTTTTCAGGTGGGAGGTATGACTTTTCAGCCCCAAGTCTTCAAAGAGACCAAATCTGACTATACTGTACTTTTCTGGACCCTGAATTGGGTGTATTCAGGTCCCACTGCTTCCTGGCAGGTCTGGGCTGTGGTAGCATTATTGGAAAGAGAAGTCAGCATGATGTGTCTTTCATCTACTACTTTAAATTTCCTTAGCCAACTACAATGTTTTCAGTCCTCAAATTGCCTGTGTATTTATGCTTCTGCAGAAGAGCTTGGACAGCATGTCTACAAATACCCATTTTCCTTAAAATTCCTGCTTGTGAGAGACTGTGGAACCTAAGGGGTTAGTCCTCTGCATTGTGTAAAAAGGCCGTTTGATCCTTTCTTCTCTGCCCCTCCTCTTGTTCAAATGACCACATGATACAGACTGAATCTGTAGTCACATGCACATGTTCAGTTTGGTGTGTATTGCTAGAGAGGTTTTTTTTTTTCTTGGGAGAGTGCATGTGATCAGCACAGGGCCAATCAGCACTGTATAGACAGAGGTCAGGAGTTTCACATCCTCCTAGAGCAGAAAGAAAACTCCTCGTACAAGCTTTAACCAATGCTCTGCTGACTCACAAGACTTCTCTAACTGCTGATGAGAAAAGGTATTTAGCAGTTTATATTTTCTAAAATAAGTGCATTTCCATGTTCTGTGTACTGCGGGAGACCAGATATAGTGCATGCAGGGTCCTGGGTTTAGTAACACTTTAAATGATTCCCATCTGGCCTATTGTACAATAATGGTGGGATCACTCTCGTTCTGGGAGGATGTCATATGATGTCCTCCTATTCTTGCAGAGCATGTGTGCCCCAAGAGCAGTGATTGGTGGTGAACTGTGTCCCTCAGACACAGAACATCACCGATCAGGGTAAGGAGCCAATGACATTGGCTCTTTACCATGTGATCATCCATGTAAAAACACAGCTTATTACAAACAAATGCCAGAAATCAAAATTTCCTTTCTTAGTGCTGTCACTGTCTGAGGAAAGGAAAGCCAATAACTGGCTTTCCTGTGACAGGGGACATTTACACTGATAATCAGTGCCCTGATTACCATTGCAGCCTGATCAGTTCAGTGCCTATCAGTGCAGCCCCATCAGTGCAGAATATCAGTGCCCATCAGTGCAAAATATCAGTGTCCATCAGTGCAGCCTATCAGTGTCCATCACTGCATCCTTTCAGTGGCTATCAGTGCAGTCTCATCAGCGCACATCATTGAAGAAGAAAAAATTATTTATTTCTAACTGTACAACAGAAACAAAGAAAACATTTTTTTTCACAATTTCCAGATTTTTTTCATTTGTTTAGCAACAAAAAAAACCCCATTGGTGATTAAATACCACCAAAAGAATGCTCTATTTGTGTGAAAAAAAATATGATAAAAATTTAATTTGAGTACATTGTCATTCAAACTGTGACAGCACTGAAAGCTGGCAGGAAAGGCGTGAAAGTGTCCATTATTGAAGTGGTTAATGATTATATTTGAACTCATGCGTTATCTTGTTGCACACCTGTTTGGTATAAGTGTTCAATCATGCACCTGACCATTTGCCTGCCAAACCCTTAAGGTGAAAAATCTGTAAGCGGTAAGCGCTGCGGTGCCCTAAATACAAATATAATGTTCTTTAGATGAGTAATTTGTATGTGAAATGTAACACTATGACCATATGAAACCAAGAGTTATGTGTCACATCTCTGAAAGGAAGTCCATATTCATTATTTAACCACTTGCACTCCTGAGGATTTACCCCCCCTTAATGACCAGGCCTCTTTTTGCTACTCGGCGCTGCACTAATTCAACTGATAATTGCGCGGTCATGCAATGCTGCACCCAAACAAAATTTATGTCATTTTTTTCACACAAATAGAGCTTTCTTTTGGTGGTATTTGATCACCTGTGAGCTTTTTATTTTTCAGGCTATAAACAAAAAAAGACCAAAAATTTTGAAGAAAAACGATATTTTTTACTTTCAGCTATAAAAAATTATATAGTAAACAGCCAAAATGTATTCTGCTACATGTTTTTGGTAAAAAAAAATCCCAATAAGTGTATATTTATTGCTTTGTGTGAAAGTTATAGCGTCTACAAACTATGGTATAGATACTGCAATTTACGCCATTTTTTTGCTATACAGCGCTGTGCTAGTTTAACGGACAATTGCGCGGTCATGCAATATGGCACATAAATGAAATTTATGTCCCTTTTTTTCACACAAATAGAGCTTTCTTTCGGTGGTATTTGATCACCTGTGTGTTTTTTTATTTTTTGCGCTATAAAAAAAAAGGCTGACAATTTTGAGAAAAAAAAAACAATATTTTGGACTTTTTGCTATAAAACATGTCCAGTAAAAAAAATTTAAAAATCAAATTTCGTCATAAATTTCAGCCAAAATGCATTCTGCAACATGTCTTTGCTAAAAAAAAAAACCCAATACGTGTAAATTAATTTGTTTACGTGAAAGTTATAGCGTTTTCAAATGGCGGGAAAGATACTCAGATTTTTTATTTTTTTTTTATACTAATAATGGCGGTGATCAGCGACTTATGGCGGCGATCAGCGACTTATGGCAGGACTGCGGGACTGCAGCGGACATTCTGACACTGGGGGGGAACTGCCTTGGGGTCACTGACATCCCCAGTGACACCAATACAGTGATCAGTGCAAAAAAAAAAACACTGACACTGTACTAATGGCACTGGGGAGGAAGGGGTTAACTTTTTTATTCACTGAAAGGGTTAACTGTGTGAGGGGAGTGTTTTACTAGGGGCCAGGGGTGTGTACTGCACGGGACACGCTGATCGGAAGAGATTTGCTGCCTTCCTTCCTTAAATAAGAGCAATAATTGCCACCTGTTTTTCAAAGAATGAATGACCTCACTAATAGAACTCCACACTGCTATTATTTTAAACATGCCCCTTTCAATTAGCGATTCAATTACACAGAATCAGCAGCATGCATGTCATGACTGTTGGGTCTGTTGGATTTCTATTACTCTACTACACCTGCTAGTAAATTATTTGCCATGTAGAAATATCATTTCTACCAAAAATAGTGATTGATTGATTGATTAGGTTAGTGATGTCTGACTGCTATTATTTTGAACACAACTGTATACTCAAAAAGAACTCTTTTGGTCATACATTTTATTACACAAAAGTATTAGTAAGAAGTACATTAACTTTAAAAACAATAGCTCTGATAACTACTGCAAGTATATATTCCCTCACATTTACAGCAAAACAACATTCCCAAAACTATCCCGACGCGTTTTGATCATTCTACTGTTTGGTCTTCTCCAGGGGTAATAAATACAAAAAGGGTTTCTAGATAAACATATTTGCTAGATAAACATATTTGAGATTAGTAATAGTTTACATATAAAGAATTATCGATAACAATGATATAATTGCCATTTTGAATTAAGCAATCAATATTAATCAGAGCGATCATAAAATACTGACATCCAAGATGAGACTGCATAGTCCAAAATTCAATGGTGTAAGCCATCGGAAAGGGCAAGGGTGGTCAAATATCCATCTCATTATACTGACAGCAAAGGAGGAACACCAAAGCACCTTCCAGATCCCTCTGTAATCACCATAAAAAATGTGGTACAAATTAGGTACAAAACTTTTTCAGAAGGCCTAAAAACTGGTATTCTAGTTAATATATGGAGAAATGCTAACCGTATATGAGGCAAGGTCAATGAACACAGTGAACTAAGATATTCCTTGTTCTATGGTAAAGATGTAGTAGATCCCAGTGGACCAAGGGTTATGCCCAGCTATCTTATCTATAATAGAAATCAAGAGCTATAAAATGACTATCACAACCACCTATAGCAGTATATATATCTCTTCATTAAAGCGACTAAACATAATTACAAGCCACACTCCCTCCATGTCTAAATGAAGCTATATCCTTCCGTCCTTTTTTGAAGGGGTTTACTTCTGGTAAAACTGATTCAAAATTGATAGTTGGGCATAACCCTTGGTCCACTGTGTTCATATAGTCAGCATTTCTCCATATATTAACTAGAATACCAGTTTTTTTTTAGGCCTTCTGAAAACATTTTGTACCACATTTTTTACGATGATTACAGAAGGATATAGAGGGTGATTTGGTATTCCTCCTTTGTTGTCAGTATTATGAGATAGATATTTGACCGCCCCTGCCCTTCCGATGGCTTACACCATTGAATTTCGGACTATGCAGTCTCATCTTGGATGTCCGTATTTTATAATCGCTCTGACTAATATTGATTGCTTAATTCCCTTGTAAGTATCAAAATGGCAATTATATTATTGTTATTGATAATTCTTTATATGTAAACTGTTTTTAATCTCAAATATGTTTATCTAGAAACCCTTTTTGTATTTATCGCTCCTGAAGAAGATCATAAAGTGGAATGACCAAAAGGCGTCGGTAATTTTGGGAATGTTGTTTTGCTGTAAATGTGAGGGAATATATCCTTGCAGTAGTTTTCAGAGCTATTGTTTTTAACGATAATGTACTTCTTACTAATACTTTTCTGTAATAAAGTGTATGACCAAAAGAGTTCTTTTTGAGTATATGTGTGATGATATGTTTGCTGCATTAAAGTCCCTTAGGGGGTTATTTTTGTCCATATTCATGTTGGGGATGATAGCCAGATACTCAATTTTTCATTATGTCCCTACCAGTTGTTATCTCTCTCTTTCACTTTTTCTGGCATGTCCCCTCAGATCAGAATACCAGATAATTATCTCTTCTACCTGGCACACAAGACAACTAAAGCCTAAAGTGGAGGGTGTACCTCTCTCTGGACAATATTGAGGGACACAAGCTGTTAGGCGTTTTGGAGGTTATATGTTCTGTTTTTTATTTGTTTTTTTTCCCTCACTTTCTCATAACCCCCTCTTTCCTTTTTTCCTTTCCTGTATACTTAAACTTCAGTGAACAGTCTACAGGGTTTGCAGAATTGAGTACATTGGAGCTCTTCTCCCTGCAGGTACTATTTTTTTTCTAAACCAACTGTCCACCTGTGAGCCAATACAGTGAATTCTCTGCAAACAAAACCCAAAAATATTCAATAAACATAAATCAAAAAAAAAAATTTTTTTTAGGTTCGCAAACACATCACACCAACTCCTACAATAGTGTCAACCAATATATAGATAAATATCGTGCTGCGCTCCTCTATTATTATCATCAAAGACACATTGATTACGTGCAAAAAATAAACTAAAATAAAATCTAATATAAATAAAGTGTGAAAAAAACAAAACAAAATGTGAAAAAAACAAATGTCCACTGTGCTTATACAATCTCTTTATACTATGGAAATAAATGTATCATTGTATATCCAGAGACTGATACATAAGAGTCCTCTTTCTTTTAGAGAAATCTGTGCTAATTAGATGAATACACTCCAGGTTCCAAAAACTTTTGCAGCATAAATACAGCTCTATCATGCGCTCACCTCCGTCTCCAGCCTCAACAGGCTAAATCACGCAGTTTATCCTATAAAAGGATGAAGTATGCTTGG